GCCCTTGAGTCTCTGGCCTGTACCCCAGTTCTGTATGCACAAATAAATAAATCTTTAAAAAAAAATCTATAAAAAAAAAAAAACAAGTCCCTGTTCAAAAATAAAAATGACAAGACTTAATCTGATCAACCTATATTAAATATTAATTGCTGTCTTTGCTTTTTCTACCTGCATAGTTGTCTGTACCTGCAAAGGACAAAATAAATAATTTCAGGGTAATTGAGTGAAGTGATACATTCTATTTTTAAAACTGACTAGACATTGTCAGCACTCACTACCAATGTCTTTAACATCACAATGGTATTGCAGTTGATATTTACCTTTTAATACAAATATAAATCACTGCTTATTCCCTGAAGCTAACTTCACTGATGCTAAATTATTTATGTTTCCATTTTAATACGTATTTTGTATCTGAGAGGACAACTCTACTTCAGACCCTTTTACTGACCCACCTGTCATTATGATGGGGTAAACAATGTCACCTTTCTAGAGCACAATGAATTACAAAGAAGTTGCAAAATACACCAATCCATCATCCTGGCACTAAGTAGGTTTTCGAAGTAGATCTCAGATATCACAAATGCTGTTTAGACTGTTACCAGAGAGCAAAAATTGGAAGCTTATACAAAACGGTCATATGATGAATGGACATGACAGCTCTTCAAAGAAAAGGGGAGTCGTCTTCTACAAATAACCTTGTCAAAAGCAAAAGTTGTAGGGAGCTTTGCTGGCAGTCAGAGTAGAATAATTTAAGAACTTATTAATGGCTCTGCCTGATAGAAATTCATACAAACACGATGTATTCAAAATCTAAAAGTAGGTATAGCTTGAGTCATCAGCAAACTCTCAAGCTTGATTTGCATTAGGGAATGGTTTGAAGAGCTACAGAAAACGACCTGTGTCTTTTAATTAGAATATACGTGTTTCAATAATCTCTGTCTCTAAAATGTATATATATATATATATATATATATATATATATATCTATATATAATGCATGCATGTATTCTGTATGACTATGTAATACTAACAAATTGCTTTGATTTTTGAGAATAACAGTAATATAGATTAAGAATAATACCAATGGCATAGCCTTTATTGATATAGGTATCTAAATTCTTAAGTGCTTAGTACAATGCATTTTAATTATTAATATAACTTTAAAAGGATTATTGTCAGTGTCATCATCTAATTTGTATGGTTATACAACATTCACATTAATTATTCCTTTCAATAGCTATTTTACTTTGTCTATTTCTTATTAAAAATGGTCATTTTATAAAATTTATTAAAGTTAGGAGGAAGATTCCCATATGACCATTTCATGTACATTGAAATAGTAACTTGTTCCTGTAGTAGACTTCGGTTCCTTTTCTTGAAACAAGGAGGAAATTTAAACATTGATAACTGATAAATGTGTAGAAAACACTAATAGGTACAGTCACAAGAGAACATTAAACAAACAACCACAAGTTAATTACTAAAAAACGACCATACAGGGGGAACGTAGACCAAAGCTGCATCTTCATGGTTTTTCCATGTCGCCTCAAAGAAAATTGAAATTTCCCCACTTCCTGGTGTTTCTATTCCTGTTTTGCACGTGCTTTGATGTAGGGGAAAAGATGAGTGCTTTGGACATGAATTTGGGATAAAGGGGAGGCTGGAAATAACTGGGGTGTTAGCATGGTTGTGGGTCAGAAAATCAATGGCTTAACTTTAGATTTTGGCTTGAGACAAAAGCTTCTGAACCAAAGAACCTTGGCTGACTATAGGGTAAGTGAATTAGTGAGGCCTTTTGCGACACTGGCCTCTGTGGCAAATCACCTGCAGCCTTAATCGTGTAGATGCAGAAGGCCCTTGGAGCATGGTACAGGACACACATGCCTGATTGTGGGCACCTGGATATGGGTGCGTGGACATGCATAGGTGTGTAAAACTGAGCCTAGAGGTGGAACAAAAAATGCAGCAGCAGTGGCAATGAGAAAACTAGTGATATGAGTACAGAAGAGGCAAGAATGTGAGAGTACATGAGAGAGAGAATTTTAGAGAGAGCCCAGAGAATGAACTTAAAGTTTCCTGGGGGCTGGGGGTCTCTACTACCTGCCTGTCTCCCAGCACTTCCTGGCTGGCCTGTGCCTGTACCCCAAGCCAGCCTCCCTGCCTGGGGTGTCTGTGTGCCTTGTTTCCTAAGAGCATCAAAGCCTGATAAATCCACCAAGGGCCCTGTGACTCTCCTTTATCCATCTGCCCAAATCAATAGTGAACCTTCCCTGTGCTTGGTGGTGCTAGACTGACTTTCTCCATTTTCATTAATTACAGGTATGTAATTATCACCTACCAGACACAGTGTAAATTTATCAATCAAATAATATGTCTTACACTTGAAATAATTCTGGCATTTAATATTGCATTGAATTTTAAATAATAGTAAGATTTTGAAGGTGATACTGGCTATAGATACCCTGCCACTAAAAATTAAAGAGTGATACAATAGAAATAATGCTAAGCTTCAGTACTCTCACCCCAAATAGGAAAAAGCATGCAAGTTAAGATATTTTGAGTATTTCTGAAAGTATCCTTAAATGGTTTAAATATTTCCAATACTAATCATCTGTTATGTTAGTCTTAAAAATCAGTATCCTCATTGACATCAGACATGTGACATTTCACTTGTATTAAATGAGATAATGCACATTTTTATAAAATACTAAATATGCATATTAAAATGACATTTTTACATGGAAGAGAACATACAAGTGACCAATTATGCTTATTACCTAACTGGTTCTTACTATGAACTAGGCTCTGTCTGCCAGATTTACATAGATTAACTAATTTAGTCCTCACAAAAGTCTAATGAAGTTGGAGCTATTACTATCCCCATTACAAAGATGATGAAACTCAACTCTAGATGGTTAAATAACAGCAGGTAATTGTGGATCTGAGATTTGAAACTAATCCATGTCATCCAAAAACCATGCACTTAACCACGGTGCCAATAAAACACTGTACCAAAACACCAGCTAAGCTAGAGAAAGTCAAAATAAGATACACCTGGCCCTATAGCTCATGTGTTTTCCATCATGAAAGCAGAAGCACTGCATCTCCAATCTTTAATGTATGAATAATCACATTGATTTTCCACTTCATGTTTTCTGTTTGCACATAGTTTGAAAACATAGCAGTCTCCACTTATATTCTTTCTGTTCCCTAACCATCTTTTAACATTTGCTCCTTCAAAACAAAAAAATGAAATGAATTTGTACCGTGTAGACTAAACAAAATTCGAATGACTCGGTCACACCTTCAACACTTTTGAATTAAATTCTTCTAACATGTTTTCACTTTCAAAATATGACAAGAAAAGGGTCAGGCAATCCAAATCTTTTTCCCCTTTCCTGGCACTTACACACTGAGAACATTTAATGGTTACTTTTGTATGTTGCATCTTGCCAGTTAGTTCAATTTAGATGAAAGCTGTTGTTTTCTAATTCCATTTCACAGTAAATGACAGAGACAAATGGTCATATTACCTCGAGAGTTCCTTTGGCAGAATAAGCTGCATATGAGTAGAGCAGATCTTGGCTGCTGTGTTTCCTGGATTCTTCACTGCAAGGCTGGCCATTAGGGTGAAAGCACTGGCCGCTGCTGCTCAGCGTAACAGAGCTGGGAGAGGAGCCTGGCAGATCGAGCAGCACAGAGTAATTTACAAACTGTACATCTTCAAGGCCCAAAGAAGTCCACTGAGTCTTAATCGTCTTCAAAATGTCTATGTCATCATCACTTTTATACAGCTGTACCAAATTTCTGAAAGACATTTAGAAAGCATATTCTGAACAAAAGATACTTTTTTATTCTTTTTAAATAAAACTATTCGACATATGAACTATCTATTAATAAATGTGGGATACTGAAAGATGAATGAGACAGGACACTAGAGAAACTTAGTTTGGTAGCTGTTATGGGCTTTTACTGAACTGCACTAAATCAAAGCAGAATTATTAAATTCTTAAATTAATGACTTAAAAAGCACCATGGAACTACAGAAGAGAACATGATTAGTGCCAAAGTGTTCTTTCATTAGTCTTGGTCCTTCTATCAACACCAAAATAATCCACTTAGAACTTAGTTCCAAAACTAGTTGTCATGATGGTTAACATTGTTTTGTACTGTAGTTAACATGACTCAATATAAAACTATGTGATTAATTTATAGGGATTTCTATACTGCATATAAAATAACATAAAAATTCTTACATGACAATTACTTGCAAAATTGCATGGTGTTATTACTCAGAGGTATGCAATAAGATCTGTATATCTTGGCCCTCCCTGGTGGCGCAGCGGGTTAAAACACTGCACTAAGAAGCTGAAACCAGTTCTTCATGAGTTCGATTCCTGCCTGCCCCGGATGTGACCACATGGTGTGGCAGACCTCTCCTGACCTGCCTGCTGCTCCCCTCAGCAGTGTACTTCGTCGATCTACCTGTTCTGCTCCCCACTCTGTCTCTGGTAAAGTCTTTCACCACCCCTGAGTCTCTGGCCTGTACCCCAGTTCTGTATGCACAAATAAATAAATCTTAAAAAAAAAAATTTGTATATCTTGTGCAAATTAAACACAGGTTAGCAATCAAAATATGATTTCTGTGCATGTTTTTTTCTACAGTCTAGCTATTTATTCCTATACCTGTTCTATAAACCACATCAATACAACCTATTTTTTGTAAATCACATCCTAGAAGTCAGTAAACTTAAAAATTGTATGGAAAGTGGGCCCTCTCTGGTGGCACAATGGGTTAAAACACACCAAGAAGCTACCACATCCACTGCAGCACTAGTTCAATCCCTGGCCAGGGAGCTGACCCACATGGCATGGCAGACCTCTTCTGACCCACCCTTTGCTCCCCTCAGAATTGTATTTCTGTACATCTGCCTGTTCTGCTCCCCACTATGTGTCTGGTGAATCCTCTCACCCCCACCTCTGTACTTACTGGCCTATACCCCAGTTCTATATGCAAAATAAATGACTCATTAAAAAAAAAAAAACTTAAAAAAAAAAGAAGGGAAACTAGAGCAAAGTATGACATGAACTCTTAATAATCCAGATAAAGTTGCTAGTGTTTTGGGTGAGGGGAAAGACTTCCTTCCTGAGCAATAACATATATTCTTACAGAATGCTATTGTCAACTAAGTTATATTTTTATAATATTGTTAAATTTTCCCCATCACATTATTTTCTCAAGAATGTTTATTTATTTAATTTTAATATATTTTTAAAGATTATTTATGCATACAGAGCTGGGGCACAGGCCAGAGGTGCAGGGGCAGCTAGAGGATTCACCAGAAACAGAGTGGGTAGCTGAACAGGTAGACTTAAGAAATACACTGCTGAAAGGAGCAGCGGGTAGGTCAGGAGAGGTCTACCATGCCATGTGGGTCACTTCTGGGGCGGGGGATTGAACTTGCACTGAAGCAGATGCAGTTAGCTTGCAGAGCTGTGCTTTAAACCGTTGTGCCATCAGGGAGGGCCCTATTTGTTTATTTTTGTAAAGAGTTATTAATTTATGTACACAAGAACTGGGTGTACAGGCCATAGGTGGAGAAGAGGTAAAATGATTCACCAGAGACAGAGTGGGGAGCAGAACAGGACAACTAACCAAGTATACTGCTGAGGGGAGCAGCGGGTCAGACAGGAGAGGTCTGCTGTGCCATGTGCGTCAGCTCCCTGGTTGAGGATCTATCTCATGTTGCAGTGGTTGGCGATAGCTTGATAGCACTGAGACTTAATCCTCTGCATCACCAGGAAGCCCTCACCAGGATTTATTTTTCTAAGTAAAGTCAGTATGCAGTATTCATTTTAGGAATCTCTTCTGTCTGATTTTGGTTTGAAGTTATACACATCTCATATAATGAGATAGTGGTCCCTCTTGAACTGTTCTCTGGAAGAACTTGAATATAATTAATTTTTGAAGATAGATCTTATTCTTAAACTAAAAATTATCTATGCTTATATTCTTGGTATGGGAGATCTATGAACTGCTGATTCAATGTCTTTAATGTTATAAGAATTTCATCATTTCTTTTTGTACTCAAATGTTGTTTCATCACCCTTGGTAACATCTGCTATTAATCCTCAAAGCTCTAGGTTTCTGATTTTATTACTTGCACACAGTTCTCTTAGTCAAGTTTTTGTTCCCTCTGGAATTTCTTACTGTTCTATCAGTCTTGATTGCAGTGTTTTATAGGGGGTTTAGTGTAATGCATATAGCATCTATATGTTTTTTAAATATTTTTAAACTCTAGTTAAAATAGAAATGTACCAACCTGATCATACAGTCACTTAAAAAAGCAGTAATTTCTTTGTAAATATTAATTGTTATTTACATAACATCAACAGGAAAAAAATCTGGAAAAACAGCTAAGGATATGATCCAAGATCCCACTTCTCACAGAAATTTACCATGTAGGTATTTGTTCAAAATTATAAATCTAATATCACTTTGCACATTATCTCTATCTAATAGAACTCAGATTTTTCAAATCTTGAATTCTGTAGTAGATGACTGGATTGAAAGAGACATGAGAACTTTTTATATTAAGCTAAAAGAGTATCCATTTATTTATATATGAAATGCATTCTAAAAGTTGTGAATAAATTTTATATGCATATGATTATAAAAACACTGGCCTTTAAAAATAATAAAGGGCCCTCCCTGGTGGTGCAGCATATTAAAGCCCAGCACTAAGAAGCTAAAGCCACTTCAGCATGAGTCGGATGCCCGGTCCCAGAGGTGATCCACATGGTGCTGCAGACCTCTCCTGATCTGCCTGACCTCTCCTGACCTGCTCCCCGCAGCAGTGTACTTCATCAATTGGCATGTTCTGCTCCCCACTCTGTCTTCTAGTGAATCCTCTCACTGCCCCATACCACTGGCCTGTACCCTAGTTCCATATGCATAAGTAAATAAATCTAACAAAAATAGAGGGAACAATTTGTTAACAACTATTCCCAATATTACAATTAACCGATACATTTAATACTTGTTTAAATGAAGTATACCACAGATGACTTTTTTTTTTTTTTAAAGATTTATTTATTTATTCATACAGTTCTGGGGTTCTGTCTTGGGGGTTAGGGGCGGTGAGAGGCTTCACCAGAGACAGAGTGGGGAGCAGAACAGGCAGATCGACGAAGTACACTGCTGAGGGGAGCAGTGGGCGGGTCAGGAGAGGTCTGGCTCGCCATGTGGTCTCCTCCGGGGCAGGCGGGAATCGAACTCATGCGGAAGTAGCTTCAGATTCTCAGTGCTGTGCTTTAACCCGCTGCGCCACCAGGGAGGGCCACCACAGATGACTTTTTAACTCTACTTCCTTTAAAACTGTATTTTTAAATTACCAAATTGCTTAAATTTCTTTTGTGTCTTCCAAAAGAGATTACAAGACCCTGGGCCCTCCCTGGTGGGACAAAGGGTTAAGAAGCAGCACTGCAAGCTAGTCACAACCTCTTCCAAGGATCCATCCCCAGCCAGGAGGTGACCCACATGACCCAGCAGACCTCTCCTGTCTCACCTGCTGCTCCCCTCAGCAGTGTACTTTATAGATATCCATGTTCTACTTACTATTCTGTCTCTGGTGAATCCTCTCACCACCTCTACACCTCTGGCCTGTACCCCAGTTCTGTAAGCATAAATAAATCTTAAAAAAAAAAAAGACCCTGGCCCTCCCTGATGGCACAATGGGTTAGGTCACAGCACTGCAAGGTGGCCTAAATAATACATAAATAAATAATACATAAATAAATAAATAATCTTTTAAAAAAAGACCCTATGAGTCCTGTGTTCTGAATTTATGTAACCTTGAAATGTAAATTATTTCAAATCTATCAGTGATCATTAAGACTTTTGTCTTAATGATCCACGTAGTTTGGCCAAATGTTTTTAGTTATTAATCATATTTTAACATTAAAATGCCTGCTTTATTGATGTTTTGGGGTTTTTTAACATTTAGTGAGGACAGTTGTAATTAGATATCTTGTTGGTTTCAAGGAGAAATATTATTGGTATTATATAATTGCAATTAACTAATTGCAGAGAAAGCTAAACAATTGAGTGTGTCATCTTTAATTACATAGTTATTGTTTGACACAGGTTTTGCTCTGCTTAAATTTTGAAGTAAGAATTTCCATGACTAGTACTTGGAGCACGCTGCATGATAAATTGGCATGCCTGAGCTTTGAATTTGGAAGTCTGGCACTAGCATTCCATTGGCCAGTGGAGACTGGAATGGGAGGATTTTGGCTTTGACAGACACATTTCTGCTATATCGTGGTCAACACCTGCTACTGGATGAGATGCAAGGCAAAACCAATGTTAGAACTAGAGGAAGCAAAATGCATACAGTGTTGCTAGTACCACAGTGAGTGCCAAGTATGTACTGTAAATGAATGGGAAAAGAAAACATCGAAAGAATTATACTAATGTTACACAGAAATAAAATCAGCATGTTTATTAATGTCCATTAAGGTTTTTCTTATGTGCTACACAATATCATGCACACAATTCCAAGCTGCTTATTGTGTGGAAAAGTAACTAAGTATTTAACTTTTGAAATAACATACTGATATAAAGCATGTCTTGAATAGCTGCTCTAAATGCTGGCACATGTAACTGCACCAAAAATGTTTTTATTGCTACCATATTACAGAAAGGAAATTAAGAATGAACTAATATATTGGATATAGAAAATATCAGATTTTACTATATGACACTGCTATGTAAAAGGAACAAGTGGTCTTCCAATTTTAGATGC